CTTGTCAATATCTCAGTAGACCTTTATCGATCACAAGGCCGTGAACCACACAAATCTATCACATTCCCTTATCGATCTTCTCATAGTGTAAAAAAAAAAAAAACCCACTGAACTAACAAAACGATGTTTAATTTTTTTCCCTTTCTATATTTCACTAATACACACTTAATGTTGACGTTACCACACGCACGCTATTCATAAAATATGCTTTTCCCCTTCCCCACAACAATGAAGCTTTTGTCAACACATTTTTTCCAGGAGCGTTGCCAGCGGTTCATGAACAATTCACCGTCAACGCCGTCAACAATTCATTTTTCCACAGCAATCAGTTGGGACGTTTTGTGTTCGATCAGCCGTGCGTTTGAACAAGCCAGGATAAAAAAATAATGTTTGTGTTTGCGTGAATTCATATCTCGATTGCCACGGCGCTGTTTGTGTCGGGTGTCGGGTCCAATAGTTTCCATTATTTTCAGATCACGCGGAGCATCGAATATGTAAATCAATAAATGATTATCAATGAAAAAGTTTTTCAACCAAGTATTTTTCTGATGTTTGAAATTGTCATTATGAAAGTACTTAACGTTTGAAAAATTAATAATGTTGAGTTGACATGCATTTAAAACAAATAATGAAGCGTTTATCTGTTTGGAAAAATAAATTATGGTAACAACAGCTAAATAAATTGAGCGTGAAAGCTCTTTAGGGTTTTAAAAAAAATTATGAATCTTGTATTTGGTGTAGTTAGAATAAGTAATTATCGAATAATTAGCGTTTTTTTTTAGTCTAGTTGTAGGGTAATATACATGGTCTGTATTAATTCGTTTTATTGAAATATTTTATTTTTGGAAAAATAAATTAGAGTAACAGCCGCTAAATAAATTGAGCGTAAACACCCTTTAGGATTTAAAAAAAAAATATGAATCTAGTGTTCGGTGTAGTTAGAATAAGTAATTATCGAATTATTTGCGTTTTTTTTAGCTAGTCTAGTTGTAGAGTACCTTATATGGTTTGTATTTATTCGTTTTATTGAATTATTTCATTTTGTTTTAGGCAGTACATTTTGAGAATCCTTGAAACTTTGTACCGTGCATCGATAATTTAAACGATAGCAAGCAAAGTTTTGTGTTAAATAATAAAGAATGAGATTATAAATTGTGTGACTGTTTTGCTAACACGGATGGTCGATTTCCCAAAATAAACACGTAGGAGTTTGATGCTGTGGGTGGAACTGATAGTGCTACAACAATCCCAGCTAAGAAGGGACTGACTATGATTCAACAATCCCAGCTAAGAAGGGACTGACTATGATAAAACAATCCCAGCTAAGAAGGGACTGACTATGATAAAACAATCCCAGCTAAGAAGGGACTGACTATGATTCAACAATCTCAGCTAAGAAGGGACTGATATTGATACACCGAGTCCCAGCTGTATTGAGTACCAATAATGATACATACAATCCCAGCTGTGATTGGTAGGGTCTATTGATACATGCGAGTATCAACAACAAAATATCATTCAACTTATCCTAGTAATTGTATGCTTTAATATAACACGCACGTTAGTGGGGCTGTATCTTTATTTTCACCTCACTTTGAAACTTGGTAGATCGATTTTCTAAGTGAACAATAGACGCCATATAGGGTTTCAAACAATTATAACAGCTTATGTGAAATTGATTTTTCTAGAAGAACAATAGCTCTTTTTTTTGCAGTACGATAGCATAACAAATTATAAATTTTGTAGGTTCGCACTTCTAAGTTATTAAAAATACAGTTTCCTGACATTTCGTTAATCAATTATCGTAAAATCGATTAGATTTAAAAAATATATACTTAAAAATCGTAACCTTTTCGATACAGTTAAAGTTTTACAGTAATTGTATTTTAAGCATTTAAGTAGAATACGGGTCTTTTACGTAGTTACATTATTACAAGCTTTTATTTAATTTGCTTTCTCTGCCTGTCTGTTGTCAGTTTGTCTAGATCGAAACGCCCGAACGAAATTTCGGACACTTCCAACCTACATATTCGGTTCAAAGCTGGCACGTGGGTCAAGACATAAAGACAATGCAATCTGATATTAAATTTCACTTAATTGGATGTCTAATTAATTGAGTATATTTTATTATAATAAAGTGACTATTTTAAGGACAGCTAAATAACATTAACACTATGGACTAAATATGGACTTTAATTATTTACATTTACTGTTGAACTATCAAAGACAGAACTAACAAATGAAGAGATATTGTGAAATGATTTCATGGGCTATTGTTTATCGTATCAACTACCTAAAGCAACACAGCCTCCAATATCCGCGATCTGCACTGTTTTCGGTTGACTGAGTTCTTTTTAACTCTTAAAATTACAATCAATAATGTTTTAAAAATCTAGTTCAGAGATACGTTAAAAATAACAACAGTCTAGCAATTTATGAAGAATCAATAAGCTGTTATCCATATTCTAATTTGATCCCTCTACCGCACTGAAAAAAAAAATCATCAATAACAATTCAATGTTGATAGTGACGTTTGTTTGAAAAAAAAAATGTGTCTATCGCGAACATTTTTTTGTCGGTCTGAAATTATTTTCGTCACGGTGGAACAGCTGAGATAAAAATTATCTCATTATCTCTTTAGAATTCGCATCAACTGGCACGTAGTGTTTTTTTTACTTCATATTCTGTTGTTACGTTTATATTATTACACTGATACTAAACGGTCACCAATGAATGACATCACATTATTTGCACCCCACTGTCTTGAGAAGTCATTATAGAAATTTAAAAAACTGACATAAAAAAGACTACACCCGCCTAAAACTCTGTCTTTACAAGTCTTCGTAGAAATGTATAAACTGATATCAAATGCACTCTCCCCCCCCCCACACACACACACCCGCCCTGTATTGACAAGATATTATAGAAATTTACAAACTGACCTCAAAATGGCTCCTAAAATGTAAATAAAATTCTTAACCTTTTTGTCCTATCATACAACGACCCATACAGCACCTTGAAAACTGACATTTTAGAACAGAGAGGATATATATTTATTTATCAGCTGTCATTTGAGAGAGTTCGGTTGATTTCATCATAACAGAGAGACGAGTCTTTAATGTACATATGCACCCGGTGTATGACGGCTATGTCTGCACCCCCCCCCCCACCCCCGTCCCCCGGCTGGCTGTCACCCCTTACTCACCCCATCATCGAAATTTCAACCCCCCACCCCGTGCCTATCATTCCCTCCCCGCGTCTGTCACCCACCGCTGTGTCTATCACTTAGATGCCTATCATCATCCCATGTCTTAACCCCCCCTCCTTGTGCCTATCAACTCAATTAACGTGTCAATCACCCCCTTCCCGTCTCTATCACCCTCCTCTCTGTGTATGTCACCCTCCTATATGTGTCTATCACCCACCTATCTGTATATGTCACCCACCTATCTGTGTATGTCACCCCCTCAGAGGCGTAGCGTCCCTTCCCGGCGCCCGGGGACAAACTTTTCGATTTGCGCCACCCCCCCCCCCCTTCAAACTTTCGATTTGCACCACCCCTCAAGATTTTGATTTGCACCCCCCCCCCCCCTCAAATTTTCGATTTGCACCCCACTCAATCTTTCAATTTATTTTTCCAACCCATTTTGGCGTCCCCTGAGGTCGGCGCCCGGGGACATATGTCCAACCCGCCCCCCGCACTCGCTACGCTACTGCACCCCCTCTCTGTATATGTCACCCCCTCTCTGTAAATTCCACCCACCTTTCTGTCCCACCTATCTGTGTATGTCACCCACCTATCTGTGTATGTCACTCTCTCTCTGTATATGTCACCCGCCTATCTGTATATTCCACCCACCTATCTGTATATTCCACCCACCTATCTGTCACACCTATCTGTATGTCACCCACCTATCTGTATATTCCACCCACCTATCTGTGTATGTCAATCCCCCCCCTCTCAGTAATCATCCACCTCCTTTCAGTGTATATCCCCCCCCCCCTGTCTATAATTCCCTTCCCCGACTCCACCCCCCCCCCTCAGTGTCTATTAACTTCCTCTCAGTGTATATCACCCCCCCCCCCCCCCTATGTCTATCATTCCCTTCCCTCTTCCCTGACTCCATAACCACCCCCCCCCCCCTTCTCAGTTCATCACCATGATGACCTGGAACAGATGCCTGCCGCTGTCATCTGTCACTGTCACGCCACTGCATCATCGTGTTCTCCTAACAGACCCAGATCTGGGTGCACGAACCCCTATCAGATGGTCTCACGTTGTTAACGTTAATTATGTAACCCCGTGACTAAATTATTGAAACACGCGGTTTTCAGATTCAACATCAGATAAGAGTGACATAACGGTCTACTATACCGTTATAAAGTTTATATTTTTTAAATAAAAGGATTTGACAACATATAATTTACCTCTTAATAAATCGAAGTTAGGTCCTATACATTCAGATTAGATACTCCCTCATAATGTATGTTAAACGTTCGCGTTAGTTTAAGGTCTAAGATATGGTTTAAGGTTTAGATACTGAGCGATCGTTCAATTATTATTATGTAGGCAGTAGTAAGGTTAAGTTCTTTCTTCGAACCTGACGGCAAATGAAGTAGAGTACACCTGTTTCTCTGCCCTCGTTATATGAACGGATATTGCGGTCAGCACTATGCCCTGCCGCTTTTACTTTCCCTAACGTGAGTTAGGTACCTATCAGAGCTGGGTGGACTCAGGGACGTTCGTCTGACTTGAACCCGGATTAGAACTCGAGACTTTCGGTTAACAGTCTAGCGCTCTACCGCTATGCCACACCGTCCCTTAAAGGCAGTAAGGCTATAGTTATGTTTATATTATGTTATTTGGCTTACCATTGTATATAGAAATGTTATATAGCACTAAGTTTTCATCCTATCTGATTAAGATGTGTAGTAAAATGAGTGGTGGATGTTCATTGAGATGTTTTAGGGGGTCGAAAACGTTCTTATAGTGTTAAATA